TAGCTGAAAAGCGGCATATACACCGGAGATAGGGCGACTATACCAGATAGCTCTTCATATCTAGCTTCTGTTGACCTGTAGAGAAGAAAATCCAAATGACTTTCGTACTGCTTTAATATGGGCGTCTGTGCCATCCCTACATAGCGAGCGCTAGCTCCCTCTCCGATAAGATTAGCGGCAGGAACAATCGCGTACCATCAACGTTCGTGAAGTTTGGTGTAGTTTGAATTTCGCGAAAAGCTACACGAGGGCCATCTGTGCAAGTCGTCTCTAATTTAGCAGCGAAAGACTAGAGGGAATGCAGCTAGTGATCACCCCTCCCCAACTCTTGGGCTACTCTTTTACTAAATAATATTGGGATTGACCGTCACACTATAACGTCCCCACGGATGAAAGGGCAAATATATTTAGTGGGACGAGTCAAGCGCCCTAACCACCTGGCCATGCCATGTCCGTCCGCGAAGTTATTTAAATCATGTTCTAGTTACTTTCTTTACCTGTTTTGTGTTTCAATTTTGCGCAAAACTACTTGAGAACTATTTACATTAGCAGTCTCTAATTTTGACGTCATAAACTTTAGGGAAGACCGCTAGTCAACACCACCTATCGACGACTCTTGAGGTACTCTTTACCGAAGAATAGTGGGATTGACCGGTGCATCATAACACCTCCACGACTGAAAAGGGGGAACATATTCGATCGCAGAATTCGAACCCGCGACCGGCAGATTGCAAGTCAGGTACTCTAATCACCAGGCCATGCATTTTTAAAAGAGTCCAACACGTGTAATAGTTTGATTTATTTACAAATTTACTAATTTTGCACCGAAATACAAAATGTACAACAACAGAAATAATCACAATTAAAAGTGTGACAGTGTTTTGTAAGTCGACTAAATATTATATTATTGGAGTATGGTTGACAGATAACCAATAGATGATAAACAATATCGTCTTTATCCTGGAATAAAACTGTTTTGGAATAAGTTACTGGAAGTATTGTAGCTAAGTTGAAAATTAATGACTTTTAGTTGTTTTTGTTGTTTTCTTAGTGCTAAGCTACAAAAGGGCTATTTACACTCTGTCCACTATCGGGAATCGAACTCCGGATTTTATCGTTGTAAGTCTGTAAAATTACTGATAATTTTAATAGATAACTCTTCATGCTAAGTCATAACGTATCGTTTGGTCATGCCTGTTGTTCTGTTTAACTAAGCTAAAATAAGTATTCATTACTTCTGTTATATATTCAAAATCTCACGCAAGATTGAAGACAATTTTGATTATTTCATTGTTCAGGAGGCTATATAAGGGCAAGACAAATTGTGTTACAATCATGATAACAAGATGAAGAAATAAATAGTGCCTAGAACTGGGATTCCATAGTGTTGATAATAGAGTTAAAGAAGACTTGCAACCCGCACTTGTTTCTAGTCTTATCTATAGCTAGATAATTCTGTTTTCTTCACGACGCTGGACAGTTGAGATGACGGTGTGTTTATTCGATGACGTCTGTGCAGACTTTCAAGTCGGAATCCGTAAAAAAGAATTGTATAAAGTTGTCCTATTATCAGAGTTCTAGACAGTCTCTAAGGCGGTCAAAACTAAATAATCTCAATCTGAGAATACTCTAAAAGTTGACAACAATTTAGATAACAACATGATGTTTGAAACCAGGCTTATGTTTTGTTTTGTGTTCTTTGAAATGATAATAATGATCAGACTGTTGTGAAATTCTCAACGTATTTGATGCCTTATAAAAATCATATCAATTACTGGAAAATTACAGAAACAAATTATCATAAACACATCTGTTTCTGTTGTTTCAGTGGAACTTTAAGAGTAGACATAATAGGTTTGAAAACTTTATTGACTACGCTTCGGCTTTTATACTGAGGCCTCATCTTAGAAGCTGAAACGTCCTATTCCCCCTTTTTTTTCAACAGGCAGTTGTAGTCGATTAAATTTTTAAACCTACTAAATCTGTTTCTCTTTCTGTTTGTTTTAAGTGCAAAGCTATACAATGGGCTATTAGTGTTCTGATCACCGCAAGTATCGACACTGGAGGAAGGTGAGGGGTGGTGGTTATAAGCATGTATTTGTTCATATCTATAAATATGAAGTAATAGTGTCCATTCGTATTGGTATTTTGAACTTGAACAGACCTTATGAGACATGAGGGCTGAGTGACCAGGTGAGAAATCCAAAGGGTCTGGCAGAGCCAGTTTTAATTTCAAGCTGCTGATTAGAGAGAAGGAAAACAGCATCCATCGGCTACATTAAACCAAGTAACAGAATACAATTGGAAATACTGAGTATATTGGAACCGTAGTCCAACACTAGTTACTAGGAGGGTGGTAATACATTACCTTTATACAGCAAGATCTTAGTCTCACCCAAATTACAGGAAATCTTAATTTAGTATCAGTCCTGGTTATCTTCAACTGTAAGGGTGGCTACAAAACCGCCCGAGAATATTCAATGATTACGTCACGTTGATGACTACAAAGTCAACTCATAATTTTCAAGGACGGCCTGACATGATCTGGTGGTTAGGGCGCTCGACACTCAATCTGAGGGTCACGAGATCGAATTCCCATCATCGAACATGTTCGCCCTTTCTGCTGTGGAGGTGTTATAATGTGACGGTTAATTCCATTATTCGTTGTAAAAGGAGTAGCCCCAAAATTGGCGGAGGGTAATGTTGACTAGTTGTCTTCCCTCTATTCTATCACTGCTAAATTAGGGACGGCTAACGTAAATAGCCATTGAGAAGCTCTGCGCGAATTTCAAAGAAAATAAACATTTTCAATAGTAAGTTCAGATTGCTGACTAAGTCTAATTGCTGACTGCAGTGTCAGTTAAGAATTTCCAACGAAAAGGTAAGATTGGTGACTACAAAGTCACCAGAGGAACTTTACAGAAAAGCAGAGAAGCAAAAGAAAAATCAACAACAAAAAATACAATACAGTCGGTTTCAACGTTTCTCATAATTTTAATTATGTGGCTATTGGTCCCTTTTTAATCCAGCAAGTGCTCAAGGTGGCAGGTAACGAGAAGAGATATTTAGTAGTAGTGGCTTGCTCTAGGGTTGAGGGATCGTTATAAATTAAATGTTCACTCTCTAGCCTCCACTTCATTTCATACAGTCATTACCCGTCTAGTCAGGAGTAAATGAAAAGTCAGAAAATCTAATGATACGAGAGGAGGTTGAAAAACGGAAAATACGCAATGGAGGCGACTGGATGTCTTACTTCAACCACTGGTGCAATGATTTAACTAGGATCATTTGAGATCGCCCCGGGAAATCCTGACATACGAAGGTTATCGTGTTGCTTTAGTAACAAGTCGGGAAATGCCATTTCTTCAGGCGGCTATTTTTAACTAATTCGAAATTTTAGAAAATCCTTGGCTTTTCCGCATGGCTGCACGAAATTTCGTGAATTATCTTCCGAACGCAGAGACTCATTATCTCTGCCATGAATTTTACTGAACGTGAAAAATCTGTAAAACCAAGCTCAAGTGATGCAAAAGGTTAAGTTTTGGAGTCCAACTACAGTGGAGAAACATCAATTGTTATAGATGTGTGGAATATGTTTTTATATGGAAATTTCACACAAACATTAAAGACGAATACATCTTTTCCGTTATAAGTCTGCACTTAACTGGTGTTGTAACTTATTCAGTCAAGAAAATAATAATAATAATAATAACCAAGCTCAAGTGATGCAAAAGGTTAAGTTTTGGAGTCCAACTACAGTGGAGAAACATCAATTGTTATAGATGTGTGGAATATGTTTTTATATGGAAATTTCACACAAACATTAAAGACGAATACATCTTTTCCGCTATAAGTCTGCACTTAACCGGTGTTGTAATTTATTCAGTCAAGAAAATAATATTTGAAGGATACAAATAATCACTTTAATTGTGTAAATAAGATATCACTTCAACTTAATTTTCAGCTGTTATTAAATGTGTTTGGACACAATCTTCCAGTTCACGAATACAGGACATAAAAGCAATACTTGGTAGATGAAAAAAAGGTAAATTTAAAAATAAAAACAGAGCAACCAGGACTAACTTCAAACAAACCTTCTTGTCTGAGAAAGAAAACCTCTGGATTTTGGCTCGTGTTACCTATTTCATTGTAAAACATTATTTATAGATCTGTTATAAGAATACTCAGTTTTTGTCTGTCCTGAAAATGCACGCACACTTTACTATCTAAATGCGCATGTTCGCGCACTTCTTTTTAACGGATGCAAACAAAAGGCGGATGTAAATATACTTTAGTAGACATCTTGTACTGTAAAGTTTTAAAAGGTTATCAGAGTTTTCAGAAAGGTCTAACGTTAGGCAGCATAATAACATTATAAGTTTATTTATTGATGAGTATTAAGTACGGTAGAGTTTAGCCCTAATTATATTAATGCAAAAAAAACGTACACAAGTTATAGTGTTAATTTATCTTTTTATCGATCATAGGCCGTACTTAATAAAGGCTTAACTAATGTTAGGCCTAAGACGAGTGGACTTGCAGATTTCGGTGTCTGCGATTATAATTATTTTCTTTTATTCTAGAGATTCTGTATTCAAAGAAGTACTGTTGTAATAAACATACTAATTTGACCACAAATGTTTTGAAGGTCTCTTCTGGTATATAGATATTGAGAACACAGTTTAATTGTGTTACATCAATGATACCTTTGTAAATAATTGAAATTATTAGTTTTCGTTAACGAATATTTCAGATCAGTGAATGAATGGTTAAGTTGCATTGTTATGAATTTTCTACACTGCTAACTTTCAAGCTATTATCTTAATTTTGTTTTAAAGATTAAACACGTTAATTTCATCCTTGTTCAATTTGTTTTTAACATCAACCAACAACAAAATCGAATACATCATTAGGTAATACTAAAAATTAAAGTGAGTTTCATTAAAATAGATAAGAAACAAACAATAAAACCTATGTAGATTAATATAAATCAAATTTACCGTTTTATAAAACATGCAGGATCTTCTATCTTCATCTTCGCCTTCAGGACAGTCAATAAAGCCATCACATAGCACGTGGTCATCTATACAGCGGTATCGTCCCATTGTGTCTGCTGTGGGACAAGCGAAACGTTCAATTCCATCTTCAGCTGGCGGGCATTCTGAAACGCAGAAAACAAGCAATGAATTACACGTCCACTTTTTTGATCACAAAAGTGCTGATCAAGATTCGAAGGTTTAGATCTTTAATATTTTCTTTCCAGACTATCTGTATTGTGGCTTTCAATATGTGTTCCAAACAAGACGTCTGGTAACTTAAATACAGAGACATCTCAAAGGCAAATAGACACCATGATTTTTTCAATAGTCATTTATCTCACATTATCAACTTGACAAAAATGTTTACAAATGTGCATCAGTACTTAGTCGATTTGACACAAGCATTTTTCAGTGCTTTGATGAGTTCTGCAATTTTCTCCTGTAGGATCTTGACCCAGGATGCACGCAAAACATCAAGTAGCTATCCACGGACGCTGGTTTTCTGGAACTTCTTCTCACTGCTCGAGCAGATATGGCCCAGACATGTTTGATGGAGTTCATATCAGATGACTGACTTGGCCATGGGAGCTGTTGAATGTCTTTCTTAATTAAATGACTATTGAATAAACATCATGGTGTCTATTTACTTTTGAGATGTTTCTGTACATACATTCCAGACACACTGTCCTTACTTTCAATAGATACACTCCAGACAAAATACCTTATAACCTTTATTATATCTAATCCAAACAAAACGCCCTGTGACTTCGCTATATACACTCCAAACAAGATATCCCTACTTTCAATAGATACACTCTAGACAAAGGACCTTGGGATATTCATTATATACAAGCCAGATAAATTGCCTTGTAACCTTCGATATATATAATCCAAAATGCGGGATAAGATGGCCGGTTACTTCCACTGAATGTATTCCATAAAGATGTTCTTAATTTCAGACAAAATTTATTCCCAAAAGTGGAGGTTATGTGAACTGTAACTTTTAAGATAGTATACTGTTTATCTAACATTCAATTTACTTGAGATAGGAGGAGCTGTATGTTTTCATTATCAACCCACGAAAGAAATACAGTAGTTTCCAATTTTGTCAGTCTACATTCAGCTACTTTCAACAGAAGATATAATGTATAGTTAAATTCCTGTTCTCTTTTTTTACACAAACGCATTCTAAAAGAAATAAGAAATAAATCTTAATCTCAGATACTGTTAGTAGAAATTCTGAAAGAAAAATTCATTGTTTATGTCAAATTTCTAGTAAATGCTTTTATTATCAATTACTTTAAGACTTATAAGATCCACTGAATGTTGTTTCACACTAAGAACATTTTAAAAGAATGAACTTTTAATGATTACTCACTTTGTATCCCTTTGAAAGTTAATATAGAATGTTGAATTATTCGATGGTATTCGATTATAAGACATATTGAAGTATTATTCATGATGGAACATAGTATATTATTATTATCTTAAAAATCTTATTAGATGCAACAAAAAGAAAGTATCGTGGATTTTTTTATACCTAAGAACCTACAATTAATTACATTTAAGACAGCGTATTTAAAATAAACTATCTAGAATCTCAGTTTATTGGAGGATTTGTTCGTGAATTCAGATTAGAACTTTTATTTTCAACTTCTTCAAATGAACAAATACAGCCTTGATTCATTAACTTTAAGCATTTTCATTCGGCCCCCCCCCCCTCCGTGGCACAGCGGATTGTCTGCGGACTTACAACGCTAGAATCCGGATTTCGATACCAGTGGTGGGCAGAGCACAGATAGCTTATTGTGTAGCTTTGTGCTTAATTACAAACAAACAAACAATTAATTCTGGGTTAACTTATTACAATTTCAATATCAAAAATGTTTCTAAATATACTTTTCTCGGGGTCAAAGTTGAAAGATAATGAATTGAGAAATTAATTGGTTGTTTGTTTCGAACATTCGCGCAAAACTACTCAAGGGCTATCTGCACCATCCGTCTCTAACTTTAAACTGACTGACTAGAGAGAAGGCAGTTAGTCTACAGCACTCACCGCCAACCTTTGGGTTACTATTGTCTAATAGAATAGTAGGATTTGACCTTTACAATTTACCCACCGCTTCAAAGTGTTATTTGGCGGTACAAGGACTCGAACTATAGATCCACAGATTTACAGCCCGACACGTTAACTGGTGGACATGGTCAACCCTATCAACTAAAACTTAATTATGATATCAATAATCACACAGATGTTTTCGGTGCATCCAATAAAAAGTATTGTTTATAGTCTGTAAACGACTAGGTACTTCAACTAATAAAACTAAATATCGTTTAAAGTTTTTGGTTAATCAATCGTCCGTATTTTCATCAACTTACATGAGATTTGGTACAGGTCCCACACATTGACAAACAAAATGGTGGACTTGCCCATTTTTAGTAATTATAGGGGTGTCAATATGCCAAGCACAATTTTAGGTTTTTTTTGGCAATTACGCCACCGTATTTCGGCCAATATAGATGAGATTTGGTACAAAGATACTTTTTTACTACAGGTCCCATACATATAGATACAGAAATATGGGATATGCCCATTTTTTGTAATTTTAGGGGTCAAAAGATTAATTTTAGGGGCTTGAATTAATTGCTTAGCCTTGTTTTGACCAATTTACATGGAATTTGGTGCAAAGATACTTTTCTATAGGTCCCACACATTGACAAACAAAAATGGTGGACTTGCCCATTTTTAGTATTTATAGGGTTAAGATGCCCCCAAAATCATAATTTTAGGGGTTTCTTTTGACAATTATTCCGCCATATTTCAGCCAACGTCCATGGGATTTGGTAGAAAGATACATTTTTACACGTTCCGTACAGATATTTACAATTTTGTAATTTTTGTCTTTTGCTCAATGTTTTGCTCCTAGAAAATATGTTTATTAATAATTTTGTTTAAAATAATTTAATCTAAAACTAAATACAATAAACAATGTAATGAAACTGAGATTATGAATGTTATTTTTTTTTCCTTTCAGCCGTGGGAACATTATAATGTGATGGCCAATCCTACTATTCGTTGGTAAAGAGTAGCCCAAAAGTTGGCGGGGGGTGATTAGCTGCCTTCCCTATAGTATTTAACTGCTGGATTAGGGACGGCTAGCGGAGATAGCCCTCGTGTAACTTTGCGCGAACTTCTAAACAAACCAAACCTGTTGAGAGTACTTGATAGGTGGTACGTGTCCTTGATTAGCCATTCTTTTAATCAGTAGGTTTAGGTTAGGAATGGTTGCAATTTGTGGGCTGTGACATGACTTTTTAGCCCATGTGTTGCATATGGTGCCATCTAGGTTGAAAATACTAATAACGCTTCTAATAATTATATGTAGTTTTAAATTTTGTCTGTTTGAAGTTAAGCCCAAAGCTACACAATGGGCTACTTGTGATCTGTCCACCACGGGTATCGAAACCCGGTTTCTATCGTTGTAAGTCCGCAGACATACCGCTGTGCCAATAGAGGGGCTATTTTTAAATCACTGAAAATGTGATCAGTTGACGAGTTTCAAGGTGTTAAAAATATTAATAATACGCACATGTGGGATTCAAGGTGTTAAAAATATTAATAATACGCACATGTGGGATTCAAGGTGTTAAAAATATTAATAATACACATAAGTGGGATTCAAGGTGTTAATAATATTAATATTACACATAAGTGGGATTCAAGGTGTTAATAATATTAATATTACACACAGGTGGGATTCAAGGTGTTAAAAACATTAATAATATGTACAGGTGGGATTCAAGGTGTTAAAATATTAATAATACACACAGGTGTGATTTAAGGTGTTAAAAATATTAATATTACACACAGGTGGCATTCAAGGTGTTAAAATATTAATAATACACACAGGTGTGATTTAAGGTGTTAAAATATTAATATTACACACAGGTGGCATTCAAGGTGTTAGAAATATTACTATTACACACAGGTAAGATGCAAGGTGTTAACAAATATTAATATTACACACAGGTAGGATTCAAGGTGTTAAAGATATTAATAATCCACACAGGTGGGATTCAAAATATTGTTTTTAATATCATAGCGAATGAATGCATTATGTCTACCGGATTTGTAAACATTAGGGGTTTATAATACATTGCATGCATAATTTAAAAAATGTGTTTAAATTTCTGTTCCTAATCTACTTTGTTTCAAATATCAATCTGTTCTGTAACAATGAAAAAAAAACGTAATTTTGAAGTATTAATTTATTTTCGTTGTCTGTTTTGTGAACAGGTAATAGAAAGATCAGATGTGTTCGCCGTTGCAATCCTTAACGTCCTATGCACGATGGAGGTGTTAAAAAATCCTTCAACAAGACCTATATACATTTTAAGTGTTAAATGAAATCCAAAGTAATCACGTACAATTAAGTTTTTATCATTTATAAAGTTTTCTATAATTATCAAGTTGTTACTCGTGTAGATTGTAAGCTCATTCGATACCGAGACTCTAAGATTGCCCTTTGAAATCAGTCAGTGTATAACAAAATAAATATAAATAATTTAATCATTCGTTCTTGATGGGGTTGATATGGTCTGGTGGTTAGGGCACTCGACTAGCAATCTGCGATTTGCGGGATTGAAACCCTTCGCCAAATATGCTCGCCCTTTCAGCCGTGGAGGCGTTGTATGTGACGGTCAATCCAGCTATTCGTTGGTAAAGAGTAGAACAAGAATTAGCGGCTTGTGGTGTTTGCTAACTGCCGCCCATCTAGTCTATCACTTCAAAATTAGGGAGGGCCAGCGGAGGTAATTCTGAAGTGGCTTCACGCGAAATTCAACAAACAAACATTTATTGTTTATGATATTGTATATATTGCTAGCTATTCTAGACTAGCTGGATGAAATTAATGTCGTTCATAAACGTTTTGGGCCCGGCATGGCCAAGTGGTTAGGGCTTTCGACTAGCAATCTGAGAGTCGCGGGTTCGAATCCCCGTCACACCAAACATGCTCGCCCTTTCAGCCGTGGGGGCGTTATAATGTGACGGTCAATCCCACTATTCGTTGGTAAAAGAGTAGTCCAAGAGTTGGCGGTGGGTGGTGATGACTAGCTGCCT